GCAGAACATCGGACAGTCTCCTGGAGCCTGGCATTCCTCGAATCGTGGTCTGCAGATGTATTCTCGGGGGTCTGCAAATTCTCTACAAGAATTTAAAATTTGGGGGTTTCTATGTCTACAATAATCCAAAGAATTAATAGAAGACTCATCTAAATCACCTTGCAACTTAGGATTCTCACACTTTTTCTTGTTTTTAACTTATGAAATGTTTGATAATACAAAATAAAATACATACAACATATGTTAGTTACGAGCTATAAAATAAAATGAACACTCGTGAACCTGCCACCCAAATTATGAGCTGGAAGACCTCGATGGTGAGCCTGCTCCTCCTTGTCCTGTGCCTGTGTGTTAAAGCAGAATGCCAAAGGCACACCACACTCGAAGATGCCCTAGAGGACCAAACCCTTCAAGCCACGTAGGCAAAACTAAACCCAGGTTATTCCATGACTATCAACGAAACAACATCTTGTAAATGCCTCTGATAATAATGAAAGAAACTTAAGTCATCTTCCTGAAATGGTATAAATCACTTTTAACCAATGCCCTGCCATCTGGAAACGCCACTGTGATAACCAATCGTGGCCCAGGTCAAACACCTTCCTCATTGTGACTTTATAAGCCATCCTGTAACGTCACGTCTCTGAGCTTCATCTCAGTTTGGGTGTGAAATCTCCCAGTTCGCAAACTGTTCTTTTGTGCACAATACATTTTTACTAAATACTATTTTACTGATCTGGTTTCAATTGTTACCGTTCTGTAGAGTTTTACCACAACATCAATGTCTCTAAAAGACACATAGTTATTTAGTTTGGGTTATTTTCACCTTTAAAAAACGATAAGCTACTTCACGCATCCTTCTATGACTTTCTCTTTTCCCTCAAAACGGTATTCCTGAGATTCAGCTGTGTTGACGAGTGCCGCCGTGGTTCATTTGCTCTACCATATCCCACGAGGTAAATGTTGCACAAATTCATTACGGATTCTCCTGGCCGGGTCCCTTTGGGCTGTCTCGTTTTGGTTTTAGGAGTTGTGCTGCCTTGAACACACTCGCACGTGTCTTCTGGAACGCTCACGCCTGGGTTTGCCTAGGGCACGTCCCACAAGTGGGATTGGTGGGTTGTAAGTTATATGAATCTTTAACTTTACAAGACAATGTCAAACTGTTTTCCACCTTGGTCAGGCTGCCTCATAATTTTAGGGCTAAGAGAAGCCAAAGACTCACTTGAGATTATATAGAAATGCGGAAGACAGCATGGGAACCCGGGCCCGACTCCAAAGGCCAGGCTCCCTCCCCCACTTGATTGGTTTGTTGACCGCTGAGTAACAGCAGCGGCTAAGCATGGCAGGAGTGTCCAGGGCACTTAATTTTTCAGTATTTACACATATCCTGTGAGTAGGTACTGTGGCCACTGGTACTCTGCCCAATCAGAGGAAGAGAAGTAGTTAGAAAACTTGCCCAAGGTCACACGAGAACTGGAATTTGATCTCGGCAGTGTAGCCATAGCGGCTGTGTCTTTAGGAGCCATGGCAGGGCTCCTGAACAAATGGAAAGAAAGCCGAGACGCTGAAGCACGCCCTGCTTGGGGACCGCAGACCACTCACTCCTTCGTTCGCTCAGCACCTCCTGTGGGCCGGGCACACGGGCTGAGTGTTAGGAACGCAGAGGGAAATGAGACAGGCCCAGTTCCACCCACAGAGATAGGGAAATCAGATAGATAATCGCACAAACAGATGTAAAATGCCTGATATTAGGAAGGAAAAGTAAAGGGACTAATCTAGATTCTTCTCCAAAGAAGTAATGACCTGGCATTTAAGCCGAGACATAAAATATCTGTAGAAGTCAGCCAAGGGAAGTGCGTGTATACGTGCGTGCATGCGTGTGCACAGGTGAGTTTGCACACGTGTGTGAGGGGTTAGGGGAATGGGCCAGGTAGAAGGAACAGAAATGCAAAGGCCCAGAGGCAGGGAAACAGTGACTGGGCACAGTGACACAAAATGGGGGGGAAGAGGATGGCAGGGGGCTGGGTGGTGGGCCTTGCAGGCCATGGTCAAGATTTTGGAATTTTATCTGTGTGTGTGTGTGTGTGTGAGAGAGAGAGAGAGAAACCACTACAAGGTCTGAAGCAAAGAAACAACAGGTCAAATGAGCATTTTTTTAAGGAAAGCCACCATGTACCTTCAGGAGGGAGAATGGAAGGCAGGAGGCGATCCGAGCAGGTGAGAAAGGGGGCCTGGACCAGCTGCTGGCCATGAGGGGCCAGAGGTGGAGGCCTCAAGACCCGCTGTGGAGGTGGGATTCACAGGCCTTGGGGGTGGGCTGAAGGTGGGAGTGGAGGGTGAGGGAAGGAGCCTGGTATGGCGTCTGGGTAGGTGGAGCCACTGTTTTCCAAAATGGGGAGTAGCAGGTTTGGGAGACCAGCTTAAAAGTCTGATTGTGGAAATGCTCCATTTGAGCAGCCCCAGGGACGTCCACGTGAAGAAGTCTGGAAGGCAGTTGGGTATGTGAATCTGGAGCTCTCAGGAGATAAAGCTTGGCTGGTCAGGGCACAGCAAGCATGGGAAGGAGGTGGGGTGGAGGTGCACCCTGGAGAAGGTGCCTGGAGAAGCACCAGGGCCTGAGGCAGGGAGAAGACAACGAGGAGGGGCTGCGGGGCTGAGGAGCAGCTGGAGGCGCAGGAGGGAGGGCAAATGGACTGAAAAGGACATTCAGACAGTCCCTCTCCTGTCTCCGCTTCCTCCAGTCTGATCATCTCTCTCACGGATGGAAAAGTACCTGTAAGCTCACGGTGTATGTGCTGACCTTTCCCACCGGACTGGAGGTCTTAAGGGGCAGAGACCCCTCGCCCGTGGGAGGGCACCAAGGAAGGCAGGGGCATCCCAGCGTGGCTGGGAATTTCCCAGAACACTGTGCCTGGCCCAGAGCCCCACGGAGCCAACCTCTTGGGCCTCAGCACTGGCAGCAGGCCCAGGGTCTGAAGAGAGCTGTGGTGTGGAAGCATTTTAATGTTTTTTAAATACATAATCTGGGATTAGATGCCCATTCACATGACCTTTGTCCGTTCTTGCCTGGAGCCACTGAAGTAGGAGTTAATAAATACTGGAGGAAATGGAAAGGCCAGGTGGAGCTCGGGCTAAGGCTCTGCGGGGAAGAGATTTCTCGAGAGGGGAGCTTTATGCCCAGGGGGCCCCTATGTCCCATTTGCCCGAGACACTCCTGGCTTCCCTCTGCTAATGGCACCCCACTTTCCTTTCAAAAGCCCTAGGGCAGATGCTAGGTAGTCACCATCCATTACCCTGTCTTGTCGGTGATGGTCTGGCTGACATTCCTGAAGCCCAGTGCTGTTTTCTGCAACACGTCTCAAGGATTGTCCCAAAGTTTGGGACCAAACCACCTGTCATATTTCAAGCAAAATGCTCTACTATTGTTCTCAAACTGTGGTCACAGAGCGGCGGCAGCAGCAGCACCTGGGAGCTTGTTAGAAACGCCCATTTCCAGGCCCCCCTCGGCCCTACAGACCCAGCGGAGCTGGGCCAGGGCCCAGCCTTCGGCTTCACAGGCTCCTGGGGGCTTCCCCGCCCCCTGTAACTTCAGCAAAGACGTGTGAAGACTGGACAGGCGGGATGGGCAGGGAAGACGGCGGCCAGACAGAGACAGGGGCCTAGGGTCCGGCCCCGGCTCCACGTGTCACTGTCTAGCTGGGGCTTGTCCTCGTGCCTCAGGTCCCTCAACTAGACATTAAACACGACAGCACACCCCTTATCCGCATCTCAGGACTACAAAAACCAGCAAGATGGGACAGATGAGAATTCTTCCAAATCTAAGGCCTCCCCAATGATAATGCTGCCTGTCCAACCCCAGTAACGATCCAAGAGCATCGAGAACAGTGGTCTTCAAGCCAAGTTTTCATCTTGGAGCTTCAGGCGGTCTTGGAACCGGCTATGACTGAGTGCAGAACTGTGTGAGTAGACACGTGCACTCTTCTGGAGAGAACCATTCAGATGCCCCAAAGCCACGCTGACTGCAGTGTGCCTCTCTACCCTTCACCCCAACAAGCATGGCCTGTGACCCTCTTAAAGATGGCAAGGACTTCCTGGCAGCCCTGAGGTAAGGAAGGGTAATGGTGCCAGGGCGTGGAGACCCAAATACTGCAGGCTGCACTGCCCGCTGTGCCTGACCACAGCCTGCGCCCCTGGGGGCTTTCCACATTTGCTAATGAATAATAGACTTGCAGGGCGTGCGGGCGTGTGGGGCTGACTCCCCCTCCTGTGTATTTCCCACTCCACAGCAGGAGGCAGGGCCCGGCCGGCGGCTTCACCCGCACCGCCTGGGTGAGCCTCACAGCACCTCCCGGAAGGAGCTCTCATTCCAATTTCTAAGTGGAAAGACAGGGGCAGGAAGCCACGTGACTCGCCCAAGAGGCAAAGGGGGGAATCTGGGATGTGAACCCAGGTATTTGTGATCCGTATCACTCCAGGCCACATGTCACACAGGGTTAGGAGGCGGTGGGCCACAGGGGAAAGGGGGCTCATCACCATGGAACACAATGGAAAACTCAAAAAAAGTTTTTCTTAATAAAGACTCCAAAGAAATGGATTGGTGCCCCTGGTGTCGTGCGCTGTTCCTCCTAAGACCACGCTCCTGCCGGCTGTCGGACAGCCCCTTCCGAGCCCTTCCCTGAGGGCCAAGCAAAGACCTGCCTGCCCCAGTCTCAGAATGCCTGGAAGCTAACACTCTCGCTGCCCAGACGAGCGGACAGGGCCCTTGGTCACGCAGCCCACCACGCATCTGCACGGCCGACCGTTCCACTCCACCCAGCATGGCAGCCCTGCCCGGGCACCCAGGTCGGCAGGGACACCGCCCTAGGGTCTGACCCGCTGACGTCACAAGGAGAAAGAGCTCCCCGATGCAGTTCTAATGTGGTCACATTCTGATGTCAGGAGATGGGATAAGCTACCTACAGGGCACGGTGACAAAAAACACTGCTCCAATGCAGGAATCTGAATTAAGTTTCATTTATTCTAGGGCAAACTCAAAGGGGTTTTTTTGTTGTTGTTTTCTTTTTTAGCAAATCCTAGCACATTATTAACAACAAAAAAAAATCTGTACATTTGCCATGATACACTTGAAGGTGAAACAAATAAGATATAAATACAGATATGGATGTAACATGAAAAAGCCCAAAAACAAAAAACAAAAACCCAACCTGGGGGTGTGGGGGACCATGCGTGTGAACACAGTGCCAACAAAACTATCTTGGTGGCTGATCCTTTTCAGAGCATTTCTTTTTTCATTTCCAAACATTATTGTTAGCAAAGTCCTGGTGGGATTCTACAAAGTTCTTATTTGCTGTTTTTTAATGTGTAATATTATGCTTGATAAATAAAGGGTGGCAGGGAAAGAAAAAGATTGATGAGACAAACTCGGCTGCATTACCTGCTTGGGGTATCGACAAGCTAGTGAGGAGCCCCAGAAAGGCAGCCCCGCGGCCGTCTCGGCCCGGTCCAGCGAAGCACACTTGGTGCCCTTGAAGAAGGCCACCTGCCGCCCCCTCGGCCTCGGCCTGCGGGCGCACCGGGGCCTGAGAGGGATGGCAGCAGCTTGAAGGGAAGCAAGAGCCAGGCAATCCGGCCCCAGCGGGGCGTGGGGGGTGTTGGGGCCCTGTACAGTCAGGTAAACGGGGGAGGCAAACCCAGTTTGGGGGGCTTTGCTCTTCTGTGTTCTGTTGTTTCGTCTGAACAGGAGGCCTGCAGGGAGGTGGCGGCAAGGCAAGGCAGCTGCAGCTGTCAGGACTCGGAGAGGGCAGCGGTGGCACAGCCCTCCCTGTGAGGTGGCGGCGGCATGCGAGTCTCCTCGGTGGTGGGAGCAGTTCTGATTGAGGCCAAGAGACCCGGGAGCGATTGTATCTAAGTCAGGAGATTGAAGGTGGGCAAGTGACATTCAAGGCTAGCCCTTCGTGAGTACTATGAGGACAGCTGGCAATGTTCAAGATTCTTCCCAACTACAGGCGGGGGCCAGGGCGCCCTGGGCGTCAAAGAGTTACAGGAGAAAGGTCTCTCTGAATGCAGCAAGCATAAAAGAACTCCTGAATAACCTAGCCAGAACGCACGTTTCCACCACAGAAGCGCCATCGAGACTTTCTGGCTCACTTGTAGAGTGTAAAAAAGAAATCCTGTTAGTGAAATATTAACAAACGGTATTTATCAATGAAAGTAAGGCCTGGTTCTGCTATGTTTTGAGCCAAAAATAAGTCAATAATATTCAACCACTTAAAATGCGCTCTTGAAGTTCCCTCAACAGCAGCAGTGGGGTACTTCCTACGTGTGCAAGATGCCCCCTCCACACACGCACATACATACACACACACACACACACACCCTCGCAGTGAAGGCACTCTGGCTTCACTGGTCCTGGACCTTCATTTTCAGTGCCCATTTCCAAATAAAGTATCTAAAACAAATTCAGAATGAAAACGAGTTATGTCTGCTACAGTGCCTTTCCCAGCTTCCAGCATCAACGCTGGAGGTCAGAGAATGGGGCCGTGTGGAGAGCAGTGGTGAGAACCTGTCCCTGCTCTTCAGGCCGGGGGCAGCGACTCACATCCAACAGCAAACACCTCAGTAAAAATTAACATGAGAATAGGCGTTTTCCTTACGGAAAAGTCAGTTCAATGGAGAGGATCTAAAATAGAGTAACAAGAGACAATACAAGTCTTCGTGATTGCATTAGAAGTTTCCACTCGGCTCTAAGAATTTTACTCAAAACTTACTTAACCAGACTCCAAATCTAGTTACTTTTATTACAGCAATCAAACCCCCAAGACATTTTTTTAAAAAGGTAGTTTCTTTGATAATTTCTCATTGAAGAAAAGGAAGCAGACTCTAAAACTGTTTCAAATCCTGTTTTTCTGCAATTTGCCACTCATCATAATTACTTTTTCAGTAAACAATGACTTTTTCAATAGATAGATGATCGAGAAGGTACTTCAGTCCATAAACTAAAAAACAAAAAGATTCTGACACTTGGTCTCTCTAGACTTTTCATTGATCTTAATCTGAAATTAAAGTCATAACTGAGAGGGGAGCGTTGCCCTTTACCAGACTGACTGAGAACATTTTAGAACTGAGCAGCTCAGGCACAGGTCAGGGGAGAGGAAAAAGACAGTGCTAACCGGGTGTCAGGAGGCCCAGGGTCCTGGGAGAAGTCCAGGTTTCCCCAAGATCTTAGCAGTAGAACAAACGCTCCTCCTCCACTGTCTACACTTCACGAAATGGCTTTTTAGGCGGCCATTAACTGATGCCATAACTTTACCTTGACTGCATTTAAACTGTAAGAACTCTCTCGAGTGGCAGCCTGGGGGTGGGGACAGCGTCAGTGGAGCTGCTCAGAGGCGCAGGAGCCTGTCCTGGGGGGATTATGGAGGATGCCCTCCTACACTAAAGGTGAGGGCAGTCAGCCTCCAGTCTAGGCATTATAAGCAAAATGTCACGTTTTTGTTAAAAGACCATCTTCAGGCTTTTCTCCATTTCTTGCAAAGACTTGATTTACATTCTTAGTAGGTCTCAAAACACAACTTAAAGACAAACGACCCTTCCATGGTGTCAACTGTGAAAGGGGTAGTGCTCTGCCTCATACAGGCCACGTCCAGAGGAAAGAAAACTAAGATGAAAGAGAAACACAAATTAACACTCCCTCCTCAAATCTGTTGTTAACTGAAAAGAAAATGCTATTTTCTACCAAGTATTGGCTAGAGAGCTCTGATTTTAAAATCTGCACCCACACACATGGTTGTATGATCTCAGCAGGCTGTACAAGACATGTTTAAGTATCGCTCTTTTCTGATTCCTGTTGTTTCTTAAGAAGATGCAATGCTGGCCTTGTTTCCTTTACATTCAATACCAGTAAGATTCTACACAAAAGCTGGAAGGGACCAAAATACTGATTGTAATAAATATTTGCGGGCCTCCTTGTACTGACTGGGCAGCCGATGGGGGGAGGTGGGAAAGGTCTCAGAGAGGCACCACCGATTGCTTCTAGGGCTACACGAAGAGCCTGTGGCGTCGCCATTAGCTGTGTGTGGACACGTCGGAGGAGGAGCTGCTGTTGCTGTTCGTGGTTTGGGCCCTCTTTATATATAAGTTTAGTAGCTTCATCTGCAAACAGAAGGTACAAATAAATTAGCAAGAGGAAAAGCAATCAAAAAGTAGAAAACAGGAAAACAACCCCAGGTGACAATAAGAAAAGAGCACGTCCTTTAGTTGAGAAATTCATCACACAAACATTTACTGAGGGCCTACTACTCATCCAACACTTCTGCTGGGTGCCAGGGCCACGGAGGGAGACCAGAGTCTAGAGGGAAAGAAGCGCCATGGGTTACTACAAAAACGATGAAACCTGTTCTCACTAGGTGGGCCAAGGGCTCCCTGAAAAAAGCGTATGATGGGCAGATCCACAAATTTCTGGGGCGACTGCACCCAACAGCTCCATCCAAGCTAGTGGGAAGAGCAGGGTGAGAGCCCACGCTGCACTGGGATAAAGCAGCTAAGCCAAGGTTAGAGGTCAAATTCTCTAACTTTCACACCTTTGCTCAAGCTGTTCCTTCCGCCTAGCACGCCTTCTCTCCCCACCCCCACTTCTGCCTGCTGAAACCCACCGCAGCACTGTGGCACCTGAGACCTAGCCCCATGAAGCCCTCCCCCACCTGCTCATCTGGATGCCCTCACTTGTTCCTCTGAGCTCCTGGGGCACTCCCACCCCACAGTGCACGCAGCATACGCTGCCTCAAGCTATAGTTAGCAGTGGACTTGCTCGCTCCTTCCGGGGAGATCAGACCTCCCTGGGGCCAGATACTGCATCACTAAATATCTCACCTCAGATGGGCATAGTGCTTTACAGTGAACGGCTTTCATAGCTGAGATCTCACTACTTTTTAACTTAAGCCCATTTGTACCCTCAAAATATGTAAAACAGCAATTAAGGTAATATATTATGTTGATAATTTGCCTGATCATATTAAGAATAAAAAGAAAGAGGTATTTGTAGAAGCAAAATGCCCAAAGCAATCTATTTAACACAGAACTTGTAAGATTAAGGGAATATGAAATGTTTAGTGTCCACAGCTCTTGACCTGCCTTGCTCTGAACAGACAGTGGGGCTGAGACAACTGTAAGCCAACCGAGGGGAGGAGAGGCTGGTCTCCAGGGGGACCCATAAAGAGAAGCTGAGGGTGGTGTGTGTGGTGCACGAGGAAGTAGGGCCCTCTGATGACCAGTGGGAACAGCAACAGTGCAGAGCTCCTAAGAGAGGCACTGTCCCCAGACAGCCTGCCCTGCAAAGGTGCTGTCATGCACGTGTCGAGCCTGCCTACACAGCCGCGGGTGTTTCCACAGCACAGTCCGCAGGGAGCAGTCCACCGCAGGGCTCTGCACACCAGCGCCTGGAGCTGTCTCACTCTTCTCGCTGCAGAGCAGCGTGTCACATTCATTTACAACTCATGTCGCAGTTTGCCATTCCCCACCTTTTAAAATCTTAAACCTTTTAATATATAGTCAGTGCAGCGATCAAAGTGCCATCATTTTCCACAAGGACTTTCATGCTCTGGGGCTCTCTGCGACGCGTCCAGGGCCAACTAGGTTCAAGGGAAATCCTGGCCCACGAGACAAAGCTCTGGCCTGAGGCTCAACAGATCTGGCAGAATGCTAGAAGCAACTCTACCACTAAAAGGCTGTGTGACCTCAGGCAGAACATTTTCCGAGCCTCGGCTTCCCCACCTGCAAAATGAAGAGGACTGAGAACGCTTCCACGTGCCCTCTGTGGCTCCTTGTGCAGAAACTGTGTCCTCTGAACACACCTCTCCAATTTCCACCAGAGTTGTTCACGCTTCTCCTTCCTGCAGTTTGCTCTGTCTTCTCTCGCTATGCAGCGCCCCTCCATCCTGCCAAGCCCAGCTCAGTTCAGTCCCACTTCCTCAAGAAGTCTCTCCCTTTCCTCCTGCTCCAGTGGGCCCATGGCCCAGCAATCAGCACCTGTCCCACTGTGTCAGTTGCGTGCTGGTCGCTCTGGGCTGCTGCACAAGTTTCCTCATGTGTCAGTCCTGTCCCCCAGCTGTAGTTTATGCTCCTCAGGGCAGGACAAGGTTTTGCTTTTCCTACATGCCTTAGCATACTGTAATGAAGACAGCAGGCTCCTAACACAAACTTGTTGAATCAAAGAGTCTTTAAAGACGGAAAAAATGATCCAGAAGATAGTTACATTTCTATGAAAGGCTGGTTAAAAATGAGTTGCTAAACACTATTATGTCTATTTGCAACTGAAAACCACAAAGAAGTCCCCTTAGTCAAGTCTAGAATCTAATTACAAGTACAAAGAGAAGATAGCGACAACAGCATTCACGATGTGTACATGTTCCACAGTTTACCAGGAGCTTTTACACTGACTGTCACATTTGAGCCTCACCAAAGTCCTCTGAGGCGGGCAGAGCAGGTTCTCCTATTTTACAAACGGAACAGCTGGGGTTCAGAGCTTGCTCACTAAGCTGGTATACATTCAAGTTAAAGTGTTATAACTTTAGGATGTCAGATGTAATCCTCACAGCAACCACAAAGAAAACAGCTGAAGAATATACACAACAGGAAATGAGAATGGAATGAAAACATTTCAGTATAAAAAGCAAACAAACACAAAAGACAGCAATGCAGAAAACAAAGGACAAAAAAAGCTTGTAAGGCATACAGAAAACAAACACCAAAGTGACAGAAGTCTCTCTTTATCAGTTGTTACTTTAAACATAAGTGGGTTAAAGTCTCCAATCAAGACAGAGATGATCAGAATGGGTAAAAAAAGAGAAAGAGGATTCAACCACAGTAGCTGCCCCTTATCTTTGGGGTGCTCATTCTAAGACCCCCGCTGGACATCTGAAACTGTGGGCAGGACCAAACCCTATATACACTATGTTTTTTGCTATACATACATCCTTTGATAAAGTTTAATGTATAAATTAGGTGCAGTAAGAGATTAACAATAGTCATTAATAATAAAATAGAACAATTACGACAATATACTGTAATACAAGTTATGTGAATGTGGTCTCTCTCTTGAAATCTCTTATTGTACTGCACTCCCCCTTCTTGTGATGATGTGAGACGACACAATGCCTACATGATGAGATGAAGTGCAGTGAAGACACAGGCACTGTGATGCAGCGTAAGGCTACTGTCGACCTTCTGACAACACATCAGGAGGATCATCTGCTTCCAGACCACGGCTGACCGTGGGTAACTGAAACCACAGATAAGGGAGGACTACTGTATATGCTGTCTACAAGAGACTCACTTTAGATCCAAGACACAAATGGGTTGAAAGCGAAAGACGGAAAAAGACATCCCACGTAAATAGTAACCAACAGTACTGGGGTGGCTATACGAATATCAAACAAAACAGACTTTAAATCAAGAAAGGTTACAAGAGACAGAGAAGGACATCATATATCAATAAAAGATCAATATGGCAAGAAGATATAACAATTATAAACATTTACACATCTAGTAACGTCATCAAAACACATGAAGCAAAAAATTGACAGAATTAAAGGGAGGAACAGTTTTACAACAATAGCTGGAGACTTCAATACCTCACTCTAAATAAAACAGACAGAACAACCAAAAAGATCAGTAAGGCAACAGAGGCCATGAACAACATAATAAACCAACTAGATCTAAGAGACACATACAGAACACTCTACCCAAGTGCACATGGAACATTCTCCAGGATAGATTATAGGACAGGCTACAAATTAAGTCTCAAAAGATTTAAAAAGATAGACAGCATACAAAGTTATCTTCTCTGACCACAACTAGATGAAGTTAGCAATCAGTAACAAAGAAAACCGAAAAATTCACAAATTTGTGGAAACAGAACACCACATTCCTAAGCAACTGTGTCAAAGAAGAAATCACAAGAGAAGTCAGAAAATATCTGTAGACAAGTGGAAATGAAAACACAACATACCAAAACTTATGGAGTGCGGCAAAAGCCGTGCAAAGAGGAAAACTTACAGCTGTAAATGCTTATATTAAAAAAGAAGAAAGATCCCATATCAATAACCTAACTTTACATCTTAAGGAACTATAAAAAGGAGGATAAACTAAACCCAAAGCTAGTAGAAGGAAGGAATAATAAAGCTTAGAGCACAGATAAATGAAATAGAAAAACATTAGAGAAAAATCAATGAAGCCAAAAGCTGGTTCTTTGGAAAGGGCAACAAAATTGACAAACTTTTAGCTAAACTAAGGAAAATCCCCTCAAATTAGAAAATCAGAAACAAATGTGGGAACATATTACTGATTCTACAGAAATCAAAAGATTATAAAAGAATACTATGAGGGCCACCCCTGGTGGCCGGTGGTTATGTCTGGCACACTCTGCTTCAGCAGCCCAGGTTCGGTTCCCAGGCATGGACCTACACCACTCATCTATCAGTGGCCATACTGTGATGGCGTCTCACACATAAAATAGAGGAAGACTGGCAACAGAAGTTAGCTCAGGGCAAATCTTCCTCAGCAAACAAACAACACTCCCAAAAGCCAATAAAAACCCCCAAAAAGAATACTATGAATAATTGTACACCAACACATTAGATAACCTAGATGAAACAAATTTCTAGAAAAACAGAAACTACCAAGACTGAATTGTGAATAAAGAGAAAATCTGAACTGATCTATAACTAGTAAAGAGATTGACTCACTAATCAAAAATCTCCTGACAAAGAAAAGCCCCAGACCAGCCAGCTTCACTGGCGAATTCCACCAAACTGATTCTGCTCAAACTTTCCAAGAAAACTGAAGACGAAGGAACACTTCCAAACTCATGCTATGAGGTCAGCATTGTCCTGATACCAATGCCAAGGACATTATAAGAAAAGAAAACCACGCATCAATATCCTGTATGAACACTGATGTAAAATCCTCAAGAAAAGACTACCAAACCAAATTCAACAGCATATAAAAAGATTATAGGGGCCGGCCAGGTGGTGTACTGGTTGAGTTCATGTGCTCCGCTTTGGCGGCATGGGCTTTGCAGGTTCAGATCCCAGGCATGGACCTAGTACCACTTGTCAAGCCATGCTGTGGTGGCATCCCACATAAAATAAAGGAAG